AACCTCGCGGCCTCGCTCCGGGAGAGGCCCAGACCACCCAGATCTGACTTACTTACTGCAGGAGCAGCAGACTCACACCACCAACTCCCAAGACCCTCGAGATGCAGGAAACATACAAATGAAATGGGGAAAACATGCTGAGGGGAAGGTTGAAACAATGCAGTTTCAAGATACCCCTCCCCAGCATACTTCTAGCAAATGTCCAGTCTATCGAGTACAAATTGAATGAACTCAGATCCAGACTTAACTACCACAGGAAACTGAGTGACTGTCGTTGCTCTGCTTTACAGAGTGTTGTCTCACCCTTGCCATTCCTGACTGTGCCCTACAAGCTCACGGGTTCTCCGTATATCGCTTAGACCACAGTGTCCTCAGGTGAAGGGCGGTGGGGTATGCTTCCTGATCAACACTTCTTGGTGCTTGGACATAGTGACCCTGGCAAGCCATTGCTCCCCAGACCTTGAATACATTACAGTAAAATGCTGTCCCTACCACCTACCTCGAGAGTTCACTTCCACCATCCTGACAGTGTTGACATACCACCCCATGTGGATGTGAAGAATGCCCTAGGAATGGTTTGCGCCGCCACAAACACTCTAGAGACAAAACTCCCCAAGGCCCTATTCATTGTGGCTGGCGACTTCAACCAAGCCAACCTCAAGAGGGTGCTGCCAAAGTACCACCAACACATCTCCTGACCCAACAGAGGACCGAACATTCTGGAACACTGCTACATAACCAAAGACACCTACTGCTCCATCCCCCACCCACACTTCGGAAAATCAGATCACAGCTCCCTCCTCCCAGCTTACAATCAAAAGATGAAACAGCAGGAACTTTCACAAAAGGAAGTACAATGCTGGTTCAAGGCTGTGAAAGACCGTCTCCAGAACTGCTTGCATTCGGTGGACTGGACCGTGTTCAAGTATTTGCCGGAAAACCTAGACAAGTACGCCATCACTATCACGGACTTCATTAGCAAATGCGTGGAGGACTGTGAACCAAAGAAGTCAATCCGAGTATTCCCAACCGTAAACCTCGAATGAACCAGGAAATCCCTTCCCTACTGAAGACCAGACGCGCAGCATTCAAGTTGGGTGACCTGGACCAATGCAGAAAATCCAGATATGACCTCCGCAAAGCTATCAGGGATGCCAAGAGGCAGCACCCGACCAAGTTAGAGGCCAAACCTACCAAACAGACTCCCATCGCCCATGGCCAGGTCTAAACAATATTACGGGACACAAAATGAAGCAAAGCAAAATAGTGGACAAAGACACATCCTTCCCTGACTCGCTCAATGCTTTCTGTGCTCGGTGTGAGCAGAATGCCAGTGACGTGGTGACACCTGACCCAACAGCCCCAGACACACTCGTTCCCTCCGTCTCTGCTGCAGACATCAGATCGGTCTTCCTGCGAGTCAACCCAAGGAAAGCGACGGGCCCAGATAGTGTTCCCGGCCGAGCACTCAGATCCCGTGGGGACCAACTGGCTGAGGTTTTCACCGACATCTTCAACCCCTCCCTTCTACAAGCCGAAGTCCCCACCTGTTTCAAGAAGGCCACCATTATCCCTGTACCTAAGAAAACACATGCAGTGTGCCTTAATGACTACCACCCAATAGGTCTGACTTTAATAATCATGAAGTGCTTCGAGGGGCTGTTCATGGCCCACATCAACTCCAGTCTCCCAGCCTGTCTCAATCCCCTACAATTTGCCTACTGATGTAATAGGTCCACAGCAGATGCCATATCCCTAACCCTGCACTCATCCCTGGACCATCTGGACAAAGACGCCCATGTCAGATTCCTGCTCATTGACTACAGGTCCACCTTCAACACCATCATCACCTCCAGACTGATTTCAAAACCCTGTGACCTTAGTCTCCACTCTGCCCTCTGCAACCGAATCCTTAGCTGTCTAACCCACAGACCGCAACCAGTGAAGATAAGTAACTGCACTTCTTCCACAATAACACTTAACACTGGAGCCCCCCTGAGGATGTATCCTTAGCCCCCTACTGTACTCTCTGTACACCTATGACTGTGTTGCCAAATTCCAAACAAATGCCATCTACAAGTTCGCTGATGACATAACTGTGGTAGGACAGATATCTAACAATGACCAGTCAAAATACAGAAGCAAGAGAGGGTTTGGTGATGTGGTGCAATGAAAAAACCTCTTTCTCAGTATCAGCAAAACTAAAGAACTGATCATTGACTTCAGAAAGAAATGAGAAGAACATGCCCCCATCTACAACAATGGAGCTGAGGTTGAGAGGGTGGAGAGAGTCAAGTTCCTTGGAGTGACGATAACCAACAACCTGTCCTGGACTTCCCACGTGCATGCGATAGTCAAGAAGGCACAACAACGCCTCTTCTTCCTCAGGCAGGTCGAGAAATTTGACATGTCCATAAGGACCCCCACTAACTTCTACGGATGCACCATTGAAAGCATACTGTCGGGTGCATAATGGCCTGGTATGGCAACTGCTCTGCCCAAGACCGTAAGAAACTACCAAAGGTGGTGTGTGCATAGCCCAGACCATCATGGAAGCCAATCTTCCATCCTTGGACTCCATTTACACAGCTCACTGCTGCAGAAAGGCTGCCAACATCAAAGACCCATCCCACCTCGGTAATGATCTCGTACAACCTCTTCTGTCAGGCAGATACAGAAGCCTGAACACACGCATGAGCAGATTCAAGAACAGCTTCTTCCTGGCCATTATTAGACTGATGAATGGACTCTCTAGCCTCAAATAATGCTGATCTTGGAGCTGTCGGTTGGTTCACCAAGCTGACTGGTTTTCATGTAAGAGTTTCATCTCCCTTCTAGGTGACACAGTCAGTGCTGTGTAGCCTCCGTTTAAGTGCTGTTGTTCTGTCCTGCTCTGAATTTATATGGTCCGGTCTGTCATGGTGGGCAGTTTTATTTCTAGTTTTGTACCATAGTAGTATGTAGATGTCCTTCTATGTCGGAGTATATTGAAACGAGGGACAGTTGGTCGTGCTGTTTCGCAGCAAGTTAGTGTTCACGTATCCCAGTGGCAAGTTTCCTGCCCGTCTGTCCTACGTAGTGTTTCTCGCAGTTGCTGCATGATATTTTATATATCACATTTGTCCTGCTCATTGTTGGTATGGGGTCTTTTGTCTCTGTGTGTGACAGGCGAAGTGTGGCTGTTGGTTTGTGTGCTATCCTTATTCCAAGAGGTCGTAGGAATCTTGTAGACAGTTCTGATGCATTTCTAACAAAGGGTAGGTTGCCACTGTGTTGGGGCTTTCAATGTCTTCTTAGTGTTGTTTGTTTGCCAGACATTGGTGGACTAAGCTGTTAGGATAATCATTGTTTGCAAAGACTCTGTATAGGTGTTCCTCTTCATTTTTTGCACAGCTCCGGGGTATTGCAGTGTGTTATCGCTCGTTTAAACAGAGTCTTCACACAGCTCTGTTTGTGGCCGCTGGGGTGGTTACTGTTGTAATTCAGGATTTGGTCTATGTGTGTAGTCTTACACTGGTAAGGAATTCCCTGTTGTCCGTTCTTTCCACCATTACATCTAGAAACAAGAGTTGATTGTTGTTCTCTTCTTCCCTGGTGAACTTGATCACGGTGAATATGCTGTTATTAAGGTGGTGTGTTTCTTCTAACTTTGCTCGTTTAATGATCACAAAGGTGCCGTCCACGTATCTAACCTATGGTTTAGGCTCAATCTGGGGAACAACAGCACTTCAACGGAGGCTACACAGTGCTGATGATGTCATCTAGAAGGGAGACAAAATGTTTGCATGAAAGTCAGCTTGGTAAACCAACCAACAACTCCAACCACAACCCGAGCTACAGATCTTCATTAAAACTTTAAATACTGATCTTGCTAATGTTGATCTTGCCTGGCGCGCACTCTATGCAATGTAACCTGTATGCCTCGAAGTCTTTTTGATCTGTACATTCTAGCTTACTATGGTCTGCCTGTACTGCTTGTAAACAAAGCTTTTCACTGTACTTTGGTACGTGACAATAAATCAATCGTATTACAAAAAGACTGCATTATGTATTAAGATGCTTTAAGAGACAGCATAAGGTATTCTATACATTTATTAACATCAATAACTTTCTGTTTTAAAATTAAGAAATATACAGGACAAGGTGACACAGCTCTTTAAATTTCAGCTATCCCATTTCACCTAGTTTTGCTATTGCCCCTATCCAACTATATTTTGAACAGCATTTCTCTCTACCCCACTGGCAAACCACTACAACATTTAATTTATAAATTCTGTTATACTTGTCTTGAATCTACTTTGATAATTGCCCCTAATGCCTGTGTAATCCTGGTTTGTCTTAATCTGAAATTATAAATCAATTATTACATTATACATAATTAAACGTTCAAAAACGTTTCTACATAAAACCTAGTTTTTTGTACAAATTATACAAATTCAGTTTCGTTCTAAAACACACGAGTGTTTAATGTCCAATATTTTGAATAATTTATTTAGGAAAATTGGTTCTGTTTCAAACTTAAGTGCTGTAAACTAAGAACACATTCGGGATAAAATACAAAGCGTGAAGATCAACTTCGTACGCACAGAATGCTTTGCAAACACTTTAATGTTGAACGACCCCCTCCCTAGCCCGCAGGTTGGTTCGAAGCGGATCAGAGCGCAATCGCCGCAACACCATGAAGACACCGCGGCACTGTTCGAAGCGTAAAACCCACCGTTCGGACGTTCAAAATTGACCTCTCCTCCTCATAGTGAACATACTGGAATTCACCTACCACTGAAAGAAGTCTGTCGAAACTCTCAAGACTCGTGGAGACAAAAGCTCACGCGGAGTTTGGACGCCTCACGGCGGCGCGCGATCCAGGTACAGCTCCCGTGAGCCGAGCCAGAGCCCGGACCTGGACGGGGAGCTCACCTGAGGAGCACGTGGGCCCTGTTTGATTGACAGGTGCGGTGTTGCCACCCTCGCGGGAATGAACCAATTGGACCGCGCGGCACCTGCGGCAGGTAGTGCAGCCTGAGCCAGGAGACGGAAGGGTCACTTAGCGATAGGCGTATTCAAGAAGAGACACTGCGTAGGGTAAAACAACTTTTACCTTATCTTCAACCGCCACTTGGATCATAAACCACTGGAGCAAAGTGCGCGGACTTGCAGCAGGCATGGACTGACGATCGTGCGGAAAGAAAAGGCGATTTGATCAGCTGAATTGCTAAAATCAATTCTACTGTAGATCGTGTCAACACGTAAGAGAGGCAAACAGGTGAGTCTGGTAAATAGAAGTGATGATGTGGAACTCCTCATTAAAACGGTGGAAGTGGCGTTGCTTCTGTTTTGCGCTATATTTTTGCGATGAAGTCTTGCGTAGACGTAAAATTATTGCTGTGCTAAGACAGGCTGCCGTCTTCAGTCCTTCAATGATAGTATCTGTGTTTTAAAGCTGATCGAGGGTGTGAAGAGGTGGCCGGGAAATGGCTGACGGTGGGAAGGCCAGTTGGTGGAAATCGATGACCCTGAAGAAGAAGCCGAAGGAACTGACGGACAAGGGGGCAGGGCAGGAGAATGTGCAGTCGTCCGCAGACAAAACAACGGCCCTGGAAAACAAACATCCTAATCTCATCGATGATAAAGAATACGTGGACCCCAAATTCGAAAGAGGCTTTAACGAGAAAAGCACACGCAGGAATCTGAAAATCTCCCGCTCTGGACGTTTCAAGGAAAAACGCAGAGTCAGGGCTACTTTACCAGAGAGCCCCAAGTTTTTTGAAGGCAACGCGAATGGGAATACAAATGATGAAAACTAATACAAAATACAGTTTCTAAAGACGCCGTCCGTTCGGGTGTTTTTAAAGACTAGTCAATGAACTCCAAAGGGAAATCTTAAAGCCCTTAATTTAATAAGATAAGAGCTGAAATTAAAGTGTCAATTTATAATACCTTGAATATTTCATGAATTGTTAAATATTTATTTGCTGTAATACAGATACCTGCTGGTGTAAATTGATTTTTACAGTCCTGAACTCTTTCCTTATCAGGTGCAGAGACAGTAAAATTCACTGCGAGTGAGAATTATGAAGAAACGCTTGTTCTGATTCAGAACTTCTTGAGTGAAAATGATTCAAGTTATTAGTTTATAATGATAACTCTACCTTTAGTAAATATTTTTGTCTGTGGCTGTTATGAAGCTTTAAGACTAAAAACAGCCTCAACATCCCACCAAAGCAATTGTTTATATTTGAGTTTTAAAGGCGTTAATTTTTAAAATAAAAATATTTTCATGAATTTTTAATCTGTACTGTTTCATATTTGCTGAATATTATTGCCTCCCCCCACCCCCCCGACCCCGAAAGCTTCAAACAAAGGTGCATTGCTCCCTCTGGTCTATTATAAAAGTTAATTATTTGCTAAACTATGGCTTAAGACCAAAATGCAACACACCCTGTAACCCAACATGTAGAACCTTTTCTTTAAAGGACAGTGCATCTGGAGCCTTGCCACAAAATTTATAGGCACCTATTTGGATCATTAGGCATCACTGGTTACCTGGGGAACTTTTGCAGATAATTTCTCAATATGTAATTGGGAATTATTGTTCAGATGAGTATAGGTCAGTGAAGGTGCAGGTAAGTCCCCGGTTTGAATGAGAAAGAGATGCTGTAGTTATTTTGCTGGGAATGTGTTTCTCCTCTGTGATGGTAGCTATTAGAAATAACTTAAACAAAACTTCCTTATTAATTTATAACTAATGGATACGTGCACAAAATGAGCAAAGTGTCTGCTGACTTTCTGAAATGGTCAGATAAATCATGGGAATACTTGCCTCTCCTTATGCCTGAGTTTATTAGATCATTTGAGTGCAACACAGACAGGAACACCAATCTTAGCTTAACATGATTGTCCTCCTCAAAGCTCTATAGTGAATCACTTTTATTTGTGGCATATGCAACTGACTGAAAGTTCAGATCTACTGTTGAAAATTTCAGATTTGTTGTTGTTATTGAATGGTGAATGGTATTCACGTACTTGAATTAACATTGAAGAGATTACTTCAAGAGATAATTTTCAACAGCACAGTTAAAAATTTCAAGAAGATTACACGTTCAATTGCATTGCATTGAACCATATTGCTACTGTATTTCAGAATGCAATATCATTTGATCATTTATGTTCTATGCATTCAGGTTCCTCAACAATTGATAAACACTGAAAACATAACTTTTTGAGAACCAGATGTGAAATTCCACTGCATTTTGCAGTTGGGTATTATTGCAGTAATGGCCCAAATTTGTTGTCAAAGTAACAGTTAATGTACTATTTAACCATAAGTCGTAGAGACATCAAGTGAGGGCAAATGTGTGAAATAGAAAGCTTTTATTCGAGTTGTGCTGCCTTACTGTTAGCTTAGCAAAAGCATCTTATTGGTCAACTCCCCATTCAAATGTGCTGAGTGCCATAAATGTTTGTAGTTTCATGGTAGATTTGAAGTAAGCTCTCTAGAGAAAGTCAACGTGTTTAAAATTTGAAGCACATTTTTAATAAAGATTCAGTTAATTACAGTCAGTTACATTGAGTCATGGTTTTTTCAGTTCATTATTTGTGGAAATTTTAAAAATACACATTGAATTAAATCCTCCTTTTCCTATCTTTATCTGACATGGACTTCACTATTCTAACATACACCTCCTTCTTAGTATATGCTGTTAACCTAAGAATCCTTAAATCTGGTTATTTAAAGACATGCATAGCAGCTTTTCCTGGTCACTCAAATCCAAGACACCCTTAAAATGGTGAAAATGCCATTTTGAGGGCATGCTCTTTCCACCTCACAGCAATCTGGAGAGCAAAGTATTTGTGAATTTAGACAGGCAATGATAAATTTAATTGCAGGTACTGTTTTTTTTTGGCCTGCTACACTAATTTTTGTATGTGTCTATAAAGGGTAAAGCCTATTTTACGTTGTTACTGGAAGTGGAAAAAAATTCTTACAATGCAAAACGTGTGTGCAATAATATCTAAAAATATAAAATGCCATGCTGTAATTAGTTAGCAAGAAATCTTTAAACAAAAGTACATTTTCCAACCTCCTTTTTGAGAGCTTGCAATGCACCTTCTATATCTCTTTGTGTTACTTAAATGTTATTCATTTCGATGTTAACTTTGTTCAGGTGTTCAGCATCATTGCTTTGGATCAGAAGTTTCAGTTCAAGCACACTTCAGGACTAGGTTGCCATTCCAGTACTATACTGAGGCAGAACAGCCCCATGATGATATTGCATTGAGTTATGCCAATTTCTTCCTGAAACAACAATAAAAATAAATAACACAAACAAAGTTGCTGGAAAAGCTCAGCAGGTCTGGCAGCATCTGTGAAGGAGAAAACAGAGTTAACATTTCGGGTCCGGTGACCCTTCCTCAGAAGCCCCAGTTCCAGTTCCAGTCCCAGATCCCAGTTATGAGGAAGGATCACCAGACCTAAAACGATAACTCTGTTTTCTCCTTCACAGATGCTGCCAGACCTGCTGAGCTTTTCCAGCAACTTTGTTTGTGTTCTTGATTTACAGCATCTGCAGTTCTTTTGGTTTTTAATAAAAATAAATAAATAGTCATTTATCTTGTTTATTGTTTAAGATCTTGCTGTAATTCAATTTGTTGCTCTGTCTGCATATATTTCAACATTATTTACACTGTTTATTAGGCGCAAAGTACTTAGTGCCATCTTAATCATTTGGTGAGGAATTATCCAAGTCAAGTTGACTTTTAAAAAATGTTACAGCTTAATGTTCTACTGATGAAAAAGGTAAGCTTGTTTTAATGTATTGCCATCTATCAAAATTAATTTAGAACATCATATACAGAAATTATTTTAATAAAAAAAAGTTGTTTGGTAGTGCAGAACTTGAATATTACTGGGGATAAAATGCATTCTGTTGAAGCTTTTTATCTTGCATTCAGACACAAGAATAGCAAATTACAAAGGGAGCAACAATTTATACTACATTTTGAAAAGCGTGCTGATTGGTTGGCAAGTCGACTCTGATCCCTTTCCTTTGCCTGGACATGTTCTTTCTGTTTATGTTGTACCTTTTTAAATTAAACAGAGCTTGGGGGCCAGTGGTTCCCTGGTTTATCCTTTTCTGGCAACACCTTGAGCAATACTCTGATGAATGCAAGACAAGTCTTCAACATGTCTCTGAATAAAACATGTTAATATGGATAGAAAGTGCAGATTCTGTAGTTTTCTTTTAATGTCTTTAAAAAGAAAATAGTCAAAGTATGGAATGACACTTTTACAGTAGATCAATTTTTCTGTTAGAATGTTATCTCGTTTTGACTTAACTGCAAATTATGACGGTGCTTAGGATCTTACTTGGAACAAAATTATATCCACAAGCCACTACATGCAGATAATTAACTACGTGCAAAGACTTTTGAGCTTAGATTTTCCTTTCCTTGTCCACGCAGGACAATGGCATGATTTCTCACCTTTGCTCTAAACTAGGCTCATTTTCCTGCGTCAAGTGGGAGCCTATCTCTGCTTCCTAGGAACATCCACATGCTGCAGCAATAAAATATATCACTTAAAGAGACAGAGGGGGAAAAAAAAAGTTACCCTTTGTTCGTGTCGGCTTTTGCAAAGAATGACGCCCAGAAAGTCAGGTATTTGAGACCATCAGTGAAAGAGACTACTTCGTCTCTGTGTTCTCACAGTTCACAGTCCTTCAGTTGTTTCACCAAGGTCGAGAGCCAGCTTTCTTTCCCCGGGTGATCAGGGAAAAATAAAAACCAGCAGAAGGTGGAAGCACAGGTTGGGTGGGAACCTGAGTTTTGCCTCCCTATGATATTTGTATTTATTAAATGGAAAAAGGAGGAGCTTATAGTCCCGATAGGGCCTAGGTGGTTGGGATTGGGGAGGAACAGTAGATTTCACTGCCCGAGTGTTCAGTTGTTTTCATCTTTGATGAAGGATGGTGAAATAATATCGAGGCATTGACCTTTTGGCATTAACACGCAGCATATTTTGTGATGGGATGCTCCTTTAATCTTGAATGAGAATTGGTTTCATGTAGATGATGTTAGAAGGCAATGTTGATGTGAGCTAGACAATTATATCTTCACATAAGTTCACAAATCTGTTGACAACTGAAATATTATTTCTGTTTCCACTCCAAATCATTCTACAAAGCTTTGATTTTTAGAAGAAATCCTCGCGGAATGTGATCAGTTTGGGTTTGGCCAGCACTTGTTGCCCATTCCCTATTGTTCTTGAAGGTGATGAGCTAATTTTTCATGATTGACCTTTAACAAGGTCATACACCAGCAATTTTTCTACTAAAGTCTATAGGCACATTTAAAGATGGGAGTAAGATTTCGAAAAATGGTTTAAAAAAAGAGCCAATTTGTTTTTATTCATGTTTGTGCACATAAACCTTGTAAACAAACATACAGTGGAATATAGGGTAAATACAGTTCTGCCAGCCAGGAAACCTTTCTTGGAGTGAATGAGACTTGGAGAATCAAAGTTACGATAGTGTAGCCGTAGCTTAAACTTATACACATTTAAAGTTAACTCAACACTGACGACACAGCAGAATTGAATTTAAGTTATGTCAAAGATTTAGTTTGTATTTTGAAGGTTACCAGGTTGTGCATTTTAACTGAACATGAAACTGAACTAAATAAATGTGCATAACAAACAGTCTCTAAAGCAGAAAAGTCCAGTCTGCATCCAGTTTCTAGTAATTCAAGACTGTAGGCAGAACACACATGAGATCATGGACAATTCAGTGTTCAGATCAAGATTAAAAGACACTTCAAAATTAAAATTTGAGAAAAACAATAATAAAACCAATAACCTTAGCAGCTTGGAAAAACATATTATTTCAGAATTATTAAATTTTCCAAGTTTTATGGTAAATGTACAACATAATAATATAATGATCTGCATCTTTGTTTCAAATAAATAGTTTTCAGTTTAATGCTTAGCATTTTAGAAGTCAAGTGTTGCCCTAATCATTTTTATAGATGACCTTAGCTGTTAAGTGTATAATCTCACAGTTTGTTTATACTTGGATTTTGCTATTGCAATCACTTCTAGTGTCTGGTGACAGAATTTGTAGCCAGGTTTTTGGAGAGGGATGTTGAAATTAATTTTATTTGAATTACTGAATCAAGATTTTTATTTACCCTGATATGCCCTGTGTATGAGAAAAGAATTATCCGAAGGAGTGAAACTGTAGGTTTTTGTTTTTATTTATCCATGAAATATGGCCTTTGTTGGCTAG